GTTTTTGTCCACCCGCCAACATACCTGCGTATGTATTGGAAAATGCGAATTGCATTGGTACTGGCAATACTTGTTGTACATTTCGACTGGCTATTTGGTTTGGTATCACTGCAGCTGGTTTCATAACGTCAACACTTTCACTTTCCGGCTTTTCTTTATTTTTCTTTTTCTTCTTTTTCTCTTTCTTTAGAGTGATCACTATCACTCGGCTCTGACTCTTTTTCAATTGCTGCTACTTTTTCACTCTTGATATGTTTGCTCTTTTTATCTCCTTGGTCCTTTTCTCTCACTGCTGCAGAAGGGAAACGCATTTTATCTTTTGATGGAGGGGGTATGTACCTATCGTCTAATTCTTTGACCTTTTCGAAATTTTTTAAAATTTTCTCCGTCTGGCCAAGTGTGTCAAACTGTAGTCGGTCTAATTGTCGTCGATAAGTCGGCGTGAGTACTTTGTACGCAATTTTAACCTGTTGTTGTTGGTTAATTGGGTTAATTGGTTTTTCACTCTTGATATGTTTGCTCTTTTTATCTCCTTGCTCCTTTTCTCTCACTGCTGCAGAAGGGAAACGCATTTTATCTTTTGATGGAGGGGGTATGTACCTATCGTCTAATTCTTTGACCTTTTCGAAATTCTTTAAAATTTTCTCCGTCTGGCCAAGTGTGTCAAACTGTAGTCGGTCTAATTGTCGTCGATAAGTCGGCGTGAGTCCTTTGTACGCAATTTTAACCTGTTATTGTTGGTTAATTGGGTGTTTCATGTGTCCCAAAATAAACCTGAGGCTGGTTAAATAAGGAGAAATTTTCTCCCCTTTTCCTTGTGTTCTGGCCCGTAATTCGTCAACTATGTCATCGTCGTCTACTGTCACTAAGTACTCGTTCTTGAATGCTCTCAACTGCTGGCATTTTTCTGGAGTATTATGGGTAATGCTTGCAATATTTCTTGGTCCGTTAAATTTGAACTATATTTACAGTCTATTAGCCTCTCCAGGAATTCTTCGGCATGGTCATCTTCCCCGTGGAATTTTAAATCCCAGTCTTTCAGAATTTTTATCACTTTTGACCTTCGATCTGACCTATTATTGTCCCTTCTCCTCCACTCACGCTGGCTCTGGCTAAAATCAGTCTCGCATTCTGACTCACTCGTTAAGTCAAACAAGATTGAACTTCTAGTTTCCCTTCTTGTTTTGTATCTTTTTTCTACTCTACTGTGTCTACCTTTATTGTCCCTATTATAACTCTGACTTGCTCTCTCATCAACACTTATTCTCTCATCACTACTACCTCTAATAAACTCATCGTATTCTCTCCTTAGATTTCTTTCTGTCATTCTACTTTTATACCTATGCCCTATTTCTTGTAAAGTTTTCCCATTTTTTCTTTCCCTCACATTCACATCTTCCTCTGACTTAAATGACCTATGTTGTGTTACATTAACACTCTCTAGACTATTTTGAGACGAGAACTGCCTTGGGGCGGATGTGGGTTTGGATTTGTTTTCAATATGGTTAGTGGCTTGAAAACCAAGGTTATTCACCGTTCGTTGTAGGGACAAGATTCTTGACTTTTGGTGATGTGTTAATTGATAACCATCTCTAATCTCGGCCCTACACTCGCTCTGTTGTAATTTTCACCCTCCACCTGAATATTGACGATCGATTTTCTCGGCGTATTCTATTAGTTTGTTCATTTCTGGGGTTAATTGTAATCGACCGACCGACTTCCTCAAATGACTGACATCTGGGGCCATTGTTGCCGATATAATAGTATGTGGTGACGTCATTATTGTACTTGTTGTCGTACCTAATTGTACAGTTGTCGTGGTGGGGGCCATGCTGGCAGTTGTCATGACTGGTGGCGGGGGTGTGAAGTTTGGGGTGGATCTACCGTTTGTCGGATTTAATCTGCTGTACGATGATCCACCTGATAATTCGTTATTCCCACTCCTACATTTCTTCCTATCACTACAACTTCTCAATTTTGGGACACTTTCCTCATTTGACTCCTCACTTTCAGACAGCGAGATTTGACCCCCTCTGTGACGATTTACGTTGGGAAAAGGGCTACTCTCTAGTTCTGACAAAGCTTCTAGTAAAAATGTTTTGTCGGAAATCCCACTATCATATCTCTCACAAAATGGTACATCTATGTCTGCTGGCAAAACTTGTCTTATCTCAATCCTTAATAATCTTTCGCGTAAAACTGACAATGTACCACTAATACACAGTTGGTGTTTTAACAATTTTGTTACAATTTCACCTACTGGCATCTGGCAAATCTCTTCCCACGCTTGTCTCACACACGGAATATCTATAAGTTCCTTTATTCTCTCTTTGTATCGATTCATTTTGTTGATTGCTTCTGCCATTGTCAATTTAGAATTTTAACTTTCGAAAATTTAAATTTATTCTAAAATCAAAATTTAGTCCTATTAACTAAATTTATTTAATTAAATTAATTTGGTTCAATTAAAATTAATTTTTAATAAATTAAAAAAAACATGAATTTGTGTTTACAAAAAAAAATCTTTGATCGTTGTCGATTTCGAATTTTTATAAGTTCAATTTAATTCAAATTAAATTAAGTCATAATTGAACCAAAATCAAACCAAATCAAATTAAATTTTTTTTCAATTTAATTCAGATCAAACTAAATTAAATCTCATGGTTTCATTTAGGGATTTTGTATTAGGGATTTATAATTATTATTTTATTTCGAAAAATTTACGATTCAATTAAATGAAAATCACAATTTATAAAAATCCAATTTAATTTATCTGTCTGACGAAAGAAAAAAAAGAATTTTATCCCTATCATAAATTTAAAAAAAATTTAATTCAGTCTCCTTTGGTACATACGGCCCTGGGTAACCTTGATTGTATAGAGAAGTACAAACTTTTTAAAGTGCCCCGTTTTTTTTTTAAATTTTTCTGGCTGGCTAATGGCTCATGTTCTCTTTCTCTTCTCTTTCGCCGTTCTCACTACTCTTTCTCTCTCTCTACGGCCACTATTACTACTACTGAATCACTGGTCTGTCACGTGCAGCCTTTCTCTTTGCTGCTAGAATTTTGAATTTTCCCGGCGCGTCGATTCGTATGTCGTCCTGCGCACTAATTTTAATCACGTGATTTTTGCAAATTTTCCTTCCGGTCTAACCTGTGCTTGACTCAAATTTAATTTTTAATTTAACTTTTCACTAATTACAGACACTAATTAAAAAAATGTATCACAACATTATTGTCTGGCAATTTTAAGAAATTTGAACAAAAGAAATAATTTAAGCATGAAATACAACGGACAGTTTATATTTTTCGCAACAGGAAAATTTATTTTTGGGTGACAAAATTACTATACACTCTCAATTTCAACTTTACTGGAAAATTTGGACATAAATTTATTTATCGGGCACAAAAATAAATTTTTCTGGCATAAACAATGACAAAGAAAATAATTTTCACATATGAAATTTCAACTCAAATGGAAATTTTTATTAGTTTTAGTCGTGTCTCGGTTCTGGCCTGGCCCCACCAAACAATTTTAAAATCTACCAAATTCGTCTAAAATTTATTACTCGGGGATTTTCGGGGTCGCTGTTTACGAATCCGATTTTAGTATTCAAAAATTCGAAATGGCGGATCCAATATGGCGGACAATAAATTTAAAAATCTACCAAATTCGCCTAAAATTTGTTACTCGGGGGTTTTCGGGGTCGCAGATTACGAATCCGATGTCAGTTTTCAAAAATTCAAAATGGCGAATCCAATATGTCGGACAAAAAAATTTTAAAAAATTATCAGATTTGCCTGAATCTTGTTATGCAATAGAGGTGGTTTCGAGGGGGGTGCTTATTAATATTAACCATATCTGTGTGACTTAGAAATTTTTTTTTTTAAATTTAGAAGCATGTAGAAGGTATAGATTTTTTTATCATTTACAAAAACTTTTATCAACAAGGGGTGGTTTATTTGATCTTAGGGTTGTTTTTGAAGGGTATTTTACATTTACTATTATTACCTGGTCATCACAAAAATATAATATAATATAAGTGAAGTTTTTTAAATTTATGAATTTTTAACAGATTTTCACCTGAAGAGGATATCAACGTTGATATCGAAACGTCGTGAGTGACGACTTATTATATTTTTTAATTAAATATGATTATCCAGTATAAAGCAGACAGGAGCTAAAAAATATTTAATTTATCACTTAGATTAATTATCAATTTTTTGGGTAGTGATATACGTTAGAGGTGGTTTTAAGGGGTTAAAAATGTTTTTAAAATTTTTTTTCTTATATTGAATAATCGAATTTACTAAACATTATTTATTTATAATAACGGTGAAAAAACTTGGTCATTTAAGGGTTAAAACATTCTTTTAGAAGGCACTCCACTTTTCAAAAAGTTGTTCAAACCGGAAGGAAAGCAGATATGTTACTGGGTGTATTTAAACTCAGAAGACACATGTTTAGTAACATAATTTTTATAATCTTTTTTTAAATCAATTCCTTTGTGCTTTTTCAATAGTCTCCCTTGCATCTAAATTTCAGTACTAGCATATATGAATACTTAGATAGCATGGACATTTTCAAAACGCTTAATGGAAGCATGCAGTATTGATAAAAAATGCGCCATTTTAAGTATTGTAGGTTTCTAATCTGTAAAAGAAGTTCATGCTCCTTTTAATATGTAAAAAGTTTAACGATGAAAACAATAATATGCTAGAAATCGATTAAATTATTATTTGTATACCTTATTACTAATCGATACTTCAGGGTATCCAATGGACGTCCTAGGGATAAATGTTGGTTCGTATAAATGTGGATATATCTAAGATATTAGTGAAATGTCCGTAATAGACCTAGTTATATCCTAATAGCGACAGACTAATTGTTATCTCTAACACATCCATTAAATGTCTTAAATCTTCAAATGATGTAAGGGTAAGCTTATTTTAATTGTTACAACCTAACGAAATAATTCTATTACACAATAATTTTTTACAGGCACAAATTAGCGACTGCTATAAAACAAAGTACTATGTCAGATGATTACAGTTTACAACAAAAAATGCATAATGAAATTAAACTTTGCGTAGTAATGCACAGAAAAATTGTATTGTTAGTATGACACAAAATTCACTTCTTATTAATTAAGCTTTAACTTTTTAGTATAGTTGCAGTATATTTTAAATTACATAATTAATAGTAGGGGAGACTGGGGCTAAACCGGACAAGTCAAATATTTCCGAAACCATGAAGAATTTCAAATAATGTACACGACCGTCCACGAGTATCTAAAAGATTACACGCGACATGACATTTTTTTCTATAAAAAACATGCCATCACTTTTTCAATCATATCTCGTAAATAAAAGGAGATATAAAAAAATCATAAATAAGGTTAGAAAGCTGGTTAAATTTTGCGTAAAATAAGCTGTCTTTAATTTATTTTGGTTAACTATTTTTTTGAGTCGTACAGTGAGAATGACATAAAAAAAATTATCAAATTTTCTCATTTTTGTCTCTTGACTTCAACTTTTTCAAAAATCTAAAAAAATTTAGATAAAAGTTTTTTAAAAACGCAGAAATCTTTGTTAGATATTCAGCTTTAAAATAAGCCTTCGAAAATTAAAAAAGATTAATCCATCTTCGATATATCATTAAAAATGTGAAGCCGTGTTTCGACGGATTGGTGGATTGAAATTCAACTCTGACAGCTCGATTCTGGCTTCGCGCGGCTGGGAATGAGAGAGAAAGCAGGGACGAAATCATGCGGGTGAACGATAAACTTTCGAGTTTCTTTATATTACTCGTAAAACATGATTATTTATTATTCCCCAGCATAAATCCGTCTCTGTTTTCTCTCCTATTCGCAGCCGCACGAAGCCAGAATCGAGTTGTCACAGTTAAATTCCAATGAACCAATCGTCGAAACTGGGCTTCACATTTTTAATGATATATCGAAGACGGATTAACCTTTTTTAATTTTCGAAGACTTATTTTAAAGCTGAAATTATAATGAAGAGTTCTGTGTTTTTAGAAAAATCTTATCTAAATTTTTCTAGATTTTTGAAAAAGTTGAAGTCAAGAGACAAAAATGAGAAAATTTGATAATTTTTTAAGTTTCTTTCTTACTCACCAACTTAAAAAATAGTTAACGAAATGACTTCAAAGATGGCTTATTTTACGCAAAAATTAATCAGCTTTCTAACCGAATTTAAGTTTTTTTGTACCTCCTTTTATTTACGAGATATGATTGAAAAAAGGATGGCATGTTTTTTTATAGAACAGCGTGTGATCGTCCTGATACTCGTGGACGGTAGTGTTAATAACCTGTGAACGCACTATTTCGTGATGCATATGTTGCATGAGGTTTTAGGGACATATCATTTTCTTGTAATAATAGTTGCCGTTAATATATAAAAATGTCGTTTTTCGCAGTAGAAGTAAAAAAAATTTTTTGGGTTTTTATCGTTATAATTAAAGTGCACATATCATATGGCAATTTTTTTATTAGCTGAAGGTGTACTGAGTGTAGTAGAAAAAAAGTTTATTGGAAAACGATAAAAAGAAAAATGTATTGCAGGTTAATTATTAGATGACGGTGTGGGGCTAAATCGGACGTCGTGATAAAAAACAAACAAATTTGCGAATACCTATAATTTATTTTATATTAATGAACTATTTTATATTATATTCTTTGCATAGAACCACTTTATCAATAAATAAATAAAGAATTTATTTTAAAACACGAATTAGCAAGCGAGCTTCTGAAATCAAACAAGTCTGAAAACTATATAATTCATTTTATATTGTATTAATTACCTATTTTATATTTTATATTACATTCTTTGTATAGAACTACCTACAAATAAATAAACAAAAAATTGATTTGAATTTTCTACAAAAAAACGAAAATTTGTGTCTCTCTCTTTAATTAATTTGCCGTGTCTGATTTAGCCCCATGGAGTGTCCGGTTTAGCCCCACCAATTTTGGGATTTTCGTTTTTGAGGTAGTCACATTCGAAGCAATAATATATCACCAAAGCTACTGTAGTTTTTTAAAAATGAACAAGTGCGATTTATAGGTGAAGGAACAAGCTTCAAAACGGTGTGTTACTCTTTAGCAAAAAATATTTTTTTCTATGAGTTTGTTAGTCACAGACCAAATCCGTCCGGTTTAGCCCCGGTCTCCCCTACTTAGGGATATAGCAATAATTCTTCATTTATAATAATTAACATATTTTATTTTGCGAGATTTATCAACGATGTCCAAAATATATTTTCAACTCCCTATCTATTGATTATTGGTCTTTGTATAATAGATTTAAGCATTACCGGAGTACAAGTAAGTAAAATAAATAATTAAAATAACGGTTATTAAAAAAGATTTCGACTTTAGTCGGAATTAAACTTTTTAGTTTAAAGTTAGGTGTTTCTTATGATAATTTTATTGATATGGTTGTCGATAAATAGTTATCAATTTTACTTAATTTTGCTCTGTAAAAATAAGCTGCCCAGAAACAAATAGATATTCAGCGTAAATATCTAGATGTTAAAACTTAATATATTTTTCTTTTAACTTAGGGACAGCTATCCAAATATTAAAACTTAATATCTAGATGTTAAGCATTCATATCTACAATCTAATTTTAAAATCTATGATGTTAAGGGCATGTCCAAGTTGTAAAATGTAAACAAACAAAAAGGTAAACAAACCTATCTTTACTATCTTTACGAAAATAGTAAATTAGAGTGTCATAGTTTACACCCTTGTAAAAATTTCAGACTAATTCCGGATTAAATACGGAGAGATTAGTACGGATTTGTCCGAAAATTGTACCCAAAATCTCCGAAAATGATCCGCGTTTGTAATATAGATCTACTCCTAATGGAAAATGCCAGTGTAGTGCTGATGTTCACCACTAGCTTAGTACTCAGACGATTGTTCAACGTAGTCTAGCCAAGTCTCGACAATCAGTGCTGGCGCAGTACAGAATTTTTGTTTCGCCAAAGCTTGGACAAGCCACAGCGGCAAGTGCTGGCTGAGTATAGAAGAATTGTTCACAACGCTCTTTGCCAACATTGCTTTTTTGACATAAACTTGAAAAAAATTATAAAAAAAGTTTATGAATGTTTATTAATATAAATTTATTGAAAAAAATTAATATTTTACTTTTCAGTTGTTCATTTTTTATTTTTATTAAATTTAGTAATAATAATTTAACATAATTGTCTATTTTTTAAATAATAAATTATTTAAACAAATTAAAATTATAAACAAAATTTAAACTTTAATCTCAATAATAATTTGGTTCCTATTAAAATACTATTATACTTCTTACTATAAATAAAAAATTATTTAAAATTACCACGTAATTTAAGAATTACGTAAAATGTTAAATGCAATAAGTAAAGTAATTTAATTTAATCATTAAAAATTTAGTTTAATTTATTTTATTTCAATTTATTATTTCTAACGTATCCCTATTTTCTTCTCATCTTTGACTCAATAATTGTATGTCTGAATGATACTGAGATATTAATACTGTACTGCACACATGTGTCGTTAGCATAGTGGTTAGAGCGTTAGTCTGTTAGTCCGTAGGTTCGATTCCCCTCATCAGCAATTTTGTTTATTTTCTTAGGTTTGCGATATTTCTAGATTCCAATCGTTAGGTACTAAGATATGAAAATCTAATGCACACTTACTGTAATTGTTTATTATTTAATTTTGAAATGTTATAAATAATTTTTTTCTACTTCATTTACTATATCCATTGTTAGTCTCCATCTTTAATACAACTTCTTTAAGAAGAGAAATATTATATGAATAATAACTATTTATTAATATTATTTACCATTTTGTTGTTAAAGTATTTATAATTATTAATTTACGACTAATTAATAACAATACGGCATTCATTGCGGCAATATTCTCAGCCAGCACTGGCCCAGTGCTGCGCCAGCGCTGTCTGTCAGCACTGGCAGGCAGTACTTCGTCAGCGTTAGACAGCGTTATCATCCCAGAGTTATGCCAGTGCTGTCTGTCAGCGTAGCTGCCTGTACTGCCAGTGCTGGCGCAGTACTCCGCCAATTGTAAATTTCCCATTGGGCTGAAGTAACATTTGTTATTTTTGATCTTTAAGTTTTACCGAACTATTCAATAAATATGAATGTAGCGAGCACTAAGCTTACGTTTTATCGAACTGTAAGTGAAGCGCTAATACATGTATCGTAAGGTTTATGCTTTTTACATTATTTTTCAATGCAATTTCTTTTACAGTCTACTTCTTGAAAAATTACTGTTTCGACAGTTTATCCCAGTTTTACAGAACTAAATTCAGTAAAATTTCAGGAATAAATTTTCTCCGTGTAGTATTATTAGTTCTTGTTTCAATATTATAATTAAGAATGATGTGTTAGTATTTTGTCATTTCTTTTTGTGGCACTTCATAAATTCTATTATGAATTTGAACTCGTATGCGAGCGTGGTGTAGTGGTTACCTGGTATAAAGGCTTGCATTAGAAAGTATTAAAAAAATTGAATTCTTTTTAATTCCTTTTTTGTCCTGAGTTTCGAATTCCCAATAAGAAAATACAAATAAAAAAATTTTAATTCCCTTTAGTATCGTCACATAAACGTTGACCAAGGTATAGAAAGGAATTGAAAAGCACATAATTTTAGGTTAGGTGTAGAAAGGTATTCAATTTTAAATATAAGTATTTATAGAAAATTTGATGGTCATGAAGTCAATTTTTTATGACTAACAATAAGTGAAATAAAGGAAAGTAATAATTAAAATTAAATAAAGATTTAATACAAGTTTTACATTATACGTGATTTACATAAAAGTCACAAAGCACCAAAAATTTCTTGAAACTTTACAGGAAATCGCTCAGTTTATATTAGCAGACGAAAATATAATAATTGGGCGAATATTGCATGCAACATTGATACAATATTGCATGTCTGAACATTAGAGCTGTGCAAAATAATTCGAACCGAACTGTTCGAATTTTTTTCGCCTAGTTCGAATGTCGAAAAACCGACATTCGAACTAGCCCAGTTCGGATGTCGAATATTCGACATTCGAGTTACTACGAAATTCGAACCGAACCGAGTTGCGTTAGGTTTTGGTACGCCAAAATGTCGAATTCTAAAATTCGACATTTCAGTCGCTCAGTTCGAATGTCGAATATTCGACATTCGAAGTAGCCCAGTTCCAATGTCGAAAAACCGACATTCGAGTTAGCCTAGTTCGAATGTCGAATATTGACATTCGAACTAGCCCAGTTCGGATGTCGAATATTCGACATTTCGGGGCCCCAAAACCGAACAAAACTCGGTTCGGTTCGAATTTTGCACAGGTCTACTGAACATGTCAAGTTATTATTTACAGTGAAATTTTTGCTCAAGTTTGATATTCAATATTATATGCACGTGAACAATCGCGGTTGACGCTAGTTATTACCAGTTACAAAGTCAAGCACATTACAAAACTGTCAATGAAATCACTTTGAACAAATGAGCCACTTTCATTTCTTTTTTCATCTTTTTCTCAAGTAACTTGGATCAGGGTCAATTTTTGTTTTGTCACCAACAAGCATTTGATTTGCAAGGAATTAAAAGTCATTAGATAGATCACACATTTATTCCACTTTAAGTGATTAAAAAGTATTCATTCTAATATTGTAAACTTTGGGCATTGAAAAGGATTCGTTTTATAGACGAATTTGACTTAATAGAAGTATTCAAATTTAGCGGACAAAAAAAGAATTCAGAAGTATTTAAAATTTTCGTCTTCCTAATAATGATGAAATAATTTTTAATAAGATAAAGGTCCCAATTATGGATCGCTTTTTAAACTGACTAAATTTCTGTGATAAGTTTGTTGGAATTAGAAGTGTTAATATGAATAATTTTGGTATAGATTGAAAGGTTGATATTTTGTAAACAGTATGTAGGCCCTAAAATGTTTATTTTTTATGAAATAAAAATAATATTAATTAAATTGTGACACCCTGCACTAGTACTGATTATGAAACGATGGTTTCCTGTATGTACGGGTGTTTCAAAATTAATGTGCCGATTATGAAACACCTATTTTATTCAATTAGCAATTAAAATTGTATTGACTTATCCCAATAATTTGAGTATTAACTATAAAGAATTAAATACACCCTGATGCTTTAATGCCTTCCTCTCGGTTTGGACGGTGTTTTAAAAAGTCGTAACATATCTATCAAAATTTTGTTAGTTAGTGACATATAAGTTCGTGTATACGTCATGAACTAACAAAATTTTGATAGATTGTCAAGACTTTTTAAAACACCGTCAAAACCGGAAGGAAGACATTAAAGCATCAGGGTGTACAAAGAATAAATTCTAGTTAAATAGATAATTCGCCGGTTGGGTGCAAAAAAGTGCCAATTCAGACTAGTCGTGAAAAACGTGCCGTTTCAAAAAACGCGTGAGAAACCCTGCCACTTGAGCTGCGATTTGGAAAACATGCCAACTCAGAATTGACGTTTATTTTTTTTATTTTAGGTTGACATTTGGCAGTACAGAAAAATTTGAAGCAAAGATTATAAAGTTGTACAAAAATTATTTTTTTAGTTGCATTTTGCATAATTGTTAGTTTTCTTTGAAAAAGGAATATTTTTACTAATTTATTGAATTAATTTGTTGATTATTTATTATTTGATGGACAACATCTTTCTTGTACTTCAAATACAAAAAATGAACGTCAAGTTGGAGTTGGCATGTTTTCCTGATTAATTCCGTATTTAATCGGACTAACTTCGGATTCACTAGTTATTCACAAACCGTATAAAGTTCGGTTTTATTAGGATTAATTTCGGGTGACAAAAACCTGACCATAAACTGCACTGCTTCGGACAAATTTCGTACGTACGTCCAATCGCTCTCTGCACTGTAAAAAATTTTTCGGCATTTTTTCAGAAAAAATACGGACAGCACGGAACCCCAAACGGTGGAAAAACTGATTTCCCCCTAATTTCGGAAAAATTCCCGTTCATATTATCGGATAAAATTCGAAATTTTTTTACAGTGTGGGTCTTTCACAGGGTCCTTGCGTCTGATATACTCAAACAGTTTAATTTTCGCGATGCGTCAAAAATGCAATTTTCAGGTTATTTTAATTTGTTATTTTACTAATTGCTTTTAAATGCTCATAGCCAGAAATTATTTTACTGTAAACTTTGATACTCTAATTAACCATTTTCGTAAAGAAAGTTTAGAAATGGTAAATTTTATGGGAGAAAAGGCTGTTACAAAATTGCGATTTTAGTGTTTGGTTTGTTTACCTTTTTGTTTGTTTACATTTCACAACTTGGACATGCCCATCTACTTTTAAATATCCAGTTTTCTCCGTGTGCGTGTTTGAATGCACTGTGCAGACTGATCAGCCTGGACGAACAAGAATCTTTTCTTCTCAGAGCAAGTCCATACTTGCTCAGATGTAGGGAAATGTTGTCATAGATGGACACTTTTTTGACTCTAGTCCATAACTTTAGTTTAAATGATAATTTAGATTATTGTCGTTAACAGTTTAAAAGGTTAAATCAAAAGGAAACTTTTTCCATGGCTGATAAGTTGATAAATAAAAAACATACAAATTGCGGGCATCTTGAAAAAAAATGTAGTCATATTTGTCCACTGTAGTCATAGTTGGACGCTTTTGAAAATCAGCAAGAAAAAAGGATATTATGACACAATTAAGTGTATTTTATGTCTTATTTTTTTATTGTGTCAAATAAAACTTACAATAAATTGAACTTTCACAAAACAAAATTAATCAGATTCGCAATTTTGCCAAATAAAATAATTTTTTGTCATTTTCGCACACTTAAGGTGGACGTCTCGTTTAGATTCAATACATGCAACGGAGTTATTGCGGATAAGTGTCGTGGCATTGTTTGTAAACATATTATGCAAAAGTCCTCATCTTCTTTATGATTATAGCTGATTTGTATTAGAGAGAACGGGTGTCCAACTATAACAACATAAAGTGTCCAAATATGACGACAAGTGACATAACCCTATCGCACAACGTCATAACCAAACTATTCAAATAAACAACAACTTCTCTTATCATTTTCTTGCGTGGGAACCACTTAACGTATTTGTATGCTTACATTGTCGATGACATGTTTTTACTCGGAGTTATGTCACGTTTTTTGCAGGTTCTTTAAAACTATTTTTGGCACTTTCAGGCCTCTGCGTCAACAAAACATGAAAATAAATAGTTCCGAAACGTGGCGTGACATGAAAATCTTTCCTTAACGAAAACAAAACATTTCACGTTTGCACACAGATGGCGCTGCTAGTATAATGTAAAATATTGCAAGTGTATGATTATGACGACTGTCCAAGTATGACAACATTCCCCTACATCTAATAGATGTCTCTATTAACTGATAAATTCGAAATCTTCTTTCATAATTATAATTCTTCATCAGCGAAAAATTTTAACATTAATTAAAATAAGGATTTTTATTTTTACAAATTATGAAACTCAAAGTAGAGTTAGACTAGACTTTAATCTTGTAATATGATTCAGACCGTGATAAATATACATAGCCCTAAGGCAGCTATACAGTTCGGATGTTATTCTATGGGACAAGTGTTGCATATTTTTATTTTAACTGTTCCAACTCAGCATTTACTGGACAACAGCCTTATACTTTCCACCAGAATGTAAAATTTATTTATTATTTTTCTATGAAAAGAAGCATATACACTCAATAACATGTATATGCTTTCCTTCCGGTTTGGACAACTTTTTGAAAACTGGTGTGCCTTCTATAAGACTGTTTTAAGTCTATGGCGTATGATGGAATTGAGTAATCTCTATTCCATCATACGCCATAGACTTAAAACATTCTTATAGAAGAAAAACCACTTTTCAAAAAGTTGTCCAAACCATAAGGAAAGCATATATGTTATTGAGTGTAATAAAGTTCAAGTGATTATTTTTTTATTCAAAATTCGTAAAATATCTCTCGCGTTGTTTTCCCTCAGCCTTTAATAGAACTTGTATTCTATGGAATAAATATCTGATCGTCTTTTTTATGTTTTACCTGGTTTTACATAATGAAATGTATAATAACCCAGGTAGAAATCGATGATAGGCATATTACTGGCCTTCCTCTCGGTTTTGACGGTGTTTTAAAATGTCGTAACATATCTATCAAAATTTTGTTAGTTAGTGACATATAAGTTCGTGTATACGTCATGAACTAACAAAATTTTGATAGATTGTCACGACTTTTTAAAACACCGTCAAAACCTGAAGGAAGGCATTAAAGCATCAGGGTGTACAAGTTACACGGAAAGTCAGTATTGACAAACAATATTGTATTAGTAGTGGATCGGATGTCAACTACGGTTGTTTATGGGAATTTCTGCCTGGGAAAATTATTTGTATATGTTTATTTTTAAACAGAATGAGTTTAATTTTTACTAGATTACAAACCTCGCAATTACAAACTTGAAAAACATTATTAACTTTTTTAAATTACATATTTATCTTACTTCTTTGAATCCTTAAACACATAAATTATGTAGTATGAACAAAATCTAACCTTGATCAGTTTTTTCTACTATAGAATACAGTTACTTCAGAATTATATCAAATATATAAGGTAAATAATAATTTTATTAGATATGAAGCAGATTGGTACAATCTCTCTAACAAAATGAAAAAATTATTACTTTTAATAATGAGAAAAGGTGCTGAACCGACAACATTTATAGTTGGAAAAATATTCATCCTTTCACTACAAATTTTTACAAAGGTATAAAAAGTAAATATTGTAAATACACTGGAACCTCCGAACGATATACTGCTCTGTCATGGTGTCTAATGTTCGATATAGACACCTTGATGCCTAAAAGTATAAATACTCAGAGTAGTGTATGTTCTTCCGTTGTAGGCAGGTCCTTCTAATCTAAAATCCGACATTATTTTCCCTCGACCTTCTCACTGACTCATCCATACTTGATGTTAACATAGTTTAATGTTCGGAAGTCTAAAGTTCTGGGCTTCCAGTATCTATAAATGAATTTACTGCATGTTACGTTCATGTTTGTTATAATTATTTTTAAGTTTTATAAAATTGTTTAAAGATACTTCAAACGTCAATGTCCTATTTCACAGTATTGTTGTCTATGAGAAAACGCAAAGAAAATCTTGCTGATGAAATGTGAAATAAATGCAGAAGAATTCAACTGGTTTTTCTGAAATACGTAGAACATCAATGATTGTAATTATTTTTTAACGTTTTTAACATTTAGTAAAGAATATAAAAAAATTCTTTTAGTGTTTTTGTAGAATCACGGATTAAAAGCGAATAAAATGAAATTTGTTAATTTATCTTGTTGTTTCTTGTAAGTATTACTAGTCACTAATTTTGCGCGCTACGCACGCCCCCTTTTTGTCTGCTATTAGAAATGGAAATGTTTTTACATCGAAAAGTTTCTAATATTACTCTAAAGATACACACATAGTTATTAAAAACATTTTATCTTTAAAGGATTAAATTTTGTATACCTAAATTGTCTTTAAAGGATAAAATTTTGTTTTTTTCCCTTTTTAAATAATATGTTCTGGTACCTACATAATATAACATTATCATCTGCATCATTTAATTCACCATTGCCAACTTTAAGTAAAAAATCTACAAATTCCGTTTCTTGTGGTAAAGCTCTCATATTATTATCTGTTAATGTGTATTTTTGAAACATTTCCATAGTTTACTATTTTTTATTGATAAATTTACTATTTCTGATCTAGTACCCCGTTCTTTAATTGGTAAAGTTTGTCGAAAATCTCCGCCTAGAATTACAATTTTACCACCAAAAGGTTCGTTGGAATTCATTATATCTCTTAATAGATAATCCATAATTTCAAAAGCATATTTTGGAGCCATTGGTGCTTCATCCCAAATAAAAACATCTATATTTTTTAAAAAGAGGCCTTCTTTAGATTGAACTTTAATGTTTGAAGATTAATCACTGTATAATGAAACGGGTAAGCCTAAGACTTTATGAACTACTTTGTTTAAGTGTTGTTGATGCAATATTTCCTTCATTTATTTTATTTATTATTCTTAGGAAAGAAATTTCTTTCTTAATAGAGTTTTTAGAAAAGTTTGATTCTCCATACTGAAGTTAAATATCTTTTTCGTTTAAAAGGCAATTCCAGTCATACACAACTATACAAGATCTACTATTAGAAAGACGAACAGAGGAAAATTTACATAAACTATTGTTTTCGAACATTAACATTAAATGATGTTTCATATTACAATAATAGTAATTGACAGAGTGGGCATAATATTAAAAAACAACGTTTGAATGCTATTGCATATACTCCACAAGAAAGACTGTATTCTGGTTGTTGATCAACAGTTGTGAAAACTACTGGTGGTTCAAAAGGATATAATCTAATTAAATAATCTCTTTGATAATGATTTAAACATTTATTATTAGGACTATCAAAAGTGTAAAGGCTTATTCCATCATAATAAGTACAAATCCATTGACCAGATTTATAAAATCCACTAAAAAGTATTTGAATGTGCTGCTCACTTTTCTCGACTGGAACTATCAAATCAAGTGTTTGTAAACACAAAGTATTTTGCATATTATAAAAAAAATGTGATTGTCTTCCCACTAGCTTTTGAAATTCATACATATGATCATTATTTAGAATTACTCCTTCAGTGACAACAATACTTAAATCATGAGTAGTCAAATTAACAGTTTCTCCTTTGTTAGACATTGTTCTTTTATTTTATAAAATTTACTTATATCAAGGAATTAAAATTTTAAAAATAGTAATATTACATTAGAATTTTAACATCAAGTTTTATAAATTTAATTATAAATTTTATAATTTCCTTTTATCCAATTTTACCAAATTTTGCCTCTTATAAAAAATAACAACAAATTGACAATTCTCTTCTTATTTAAAACTTTCAAATTTTTCCTTCTATCTAATATAATCAATGTCCAATTAAACTAACTTCCAATTTTGTCTCTTATCAAATATACAAACAATTTACAATTTTTTCTTTTATCCAATTTAACCAATTTCCAGCTTTCTTTTTATCCAATATAACTAATTTTCAATTTTGCCTTTTATCCAATTTAACCAATTTCCAGCTTTCTTTTTAACCAATATAACCAATTTCTAATTTTTCCTTTTATCCAATTTTACCAATTTCCAGCTTTTTTATCCAATATAACCAAATTCCAATTTTGCCTTTTATCTAATTTAACCAATTTCCGGCTTTGTTTTTATCCAATTTTTCCTTTTATCCAATTTAACCAATTTCCACCTTTGTCTTTATCCAATATAACCATTTTCTAACTTTTCCTTTTATCCACTTTCACCAATTTCCAGCTTTGTTTTTATCAACTATAACCAATTTCCAATTTTGACTTTCATCCAATTTAACCAATTTCCAGCTTTGTTTTTATCCTATTATACTTACTATTCACTAAATCACTACACTAGTTTACAGTGAAATTGTCAATCGAACAAAACAATTTTTTTTCGAATAGTAAGTATTTTTTGAGTAAGAAAATCATAGTTTTAATTTTTTTCCCTCGTGCAGTTTTTCTGTAGCTTCAAATTTTGCATTTTCGAGGTGCGACGCCACTTAAACTTACCTGTAGGAAAATTAGCTTGTCAAAACATAATAAATGAGGTATCATTGGAAAGGTTATTAAAATACCTTTTGATCCATAGGTCACAGAATGAAATTCAACAAAAATTGAGAGAGTTACAGTCGATTAAAGATGAAATTTCATGACAATTTTGATGATTTTTAGACATTTGAGTACCTTCTACTATTTTTTCTACATCAAACAGGAAAGAATGTTTAGGTTTTAATTTTTTTATTGATAGACTATATCATTACACAAATTTTGAGCCCTTGTGGACCTCGATTGGATTAAAAATGACAATTCTACACTAAATTTAGTGAACAAAACTACATTCTTCATTTTTAGTATCCCTTAAACATTTGCAGCAAAAATTGAAGTAATAAAATTTAGTTAACCTCTAAAGTTACTAAAATCACTAATAAAGGATTTCTGAAATCGTAGATTTCGAATCCAATGTTAGTTTTCTAAATTTTAAAATGGCGGATCCAATATGGCGGACAAGTTTTTAAAAATTGTTTTATTGTTTATACTCCTGCCCTATTGGCCTTACGCACTTCGACAAGAGTCCCCGAGAAATTCTTTTTTGGATTAAGCATAACCATTCTACTTAGAAATTTTCTATATATTAACCTAATTTGCGTCTACAGCCGACTTTATTAGGAGTACTCGCATTACGCCTGGACCACCCGTCAATGGGTTTTCTCGCCAGAGAAGAGGGAAACTGTAGAAAACCTCTCTGAGTACAACCGGTTTATCGACAGTCGAGTTCTAATGGTGTGTACCGGACAATAATCGACGGTGCACATCATTATACCTCGACGTCAAACCTCCCGCTCAGATTGTCTCACGTGCCGGAAAAATACCAAGCCAAGTGGGCGCGAACCAAGGGTACTTATACCCTTGGTCCTTAAACGACCACCAACGCCAGGCATCTATCCGACTGAGCCAATCTGTCGGTAAGTTTTTAAAAATCGATTACATTCGTCTTAAATTCGTTACTCGGGGGTTTTCGGGGTCGCTGATTACGAATCTGATGTCAGATTTCAAAAATTAAAAATGGCGGATCCAATAGGTGCGAATTTGATGGATTTTAAAAAACTCGTTCACCATTATGAATCCATCCTTTTCAATTTTCGAAATCTGACATCAGATTCGTAATCAGCGACCCCGAAAACCCCCGAGTAACGAATTTAAGACGAATGTAATCGATTTTTAAAAACTTGTCCGCCATATTGGATCCGCCATTTTGAAATTTAGAAAACTAACATTGGATTCGAAATCTACGATTTCAGAAATCCTTTATTAGTGATTTTAGTAACTTTAGAGCTTAACTAAATTTTATTACTTCAATTTTTGCTGCAAATGTTTAAGGGATACTAAAAATGAAGAATGTAGTTTCGTTCACTACATTTAGTGTAGAATTGTCATTTTTAATCCAATCGGGGTCCACAAGGGCTCAAAATTTGTGTAATGATATAGTCTATCAATAAAAAAATTAAAACCTAAACATTCTTTCCTGTTTGATGTAGAAAAAAATAGTAGAAGTTACTCAAATGTCTAAAAATCATCAAAATTGTCATGAAATTTCATCTTTCATCGACTGTAACTCTCTCAATTTTTGTTGAATTTTATTCTGTGACCTATGGATCGAAAGGTAATTTAATAACCTTTCCAATGATACCTCATTTATTATATTTTGACAAGCTAATTTTCCTACAGGTAAGTTTAAGTAGCTTCGCACCTCGAAAATGGAAAATTTAAAGCTACAGAAAAACTGCACGAGGGAAAAAAATTAAAACTATGATTTTCTTACTCAAAAAACACCTACTATTCGAAAAAAAATTGTTTTGTTCGATTGGCAAAAAAAAGTTTTTAATTTGTAAACCTGTGCTATTTACTAATTCACGAAGTATTCACTAATAATTCACTTATTTAACTTTATATTCACTCACATATAGTGAATGAATTCACCAGTGAATTATAAAGATCCTAAGTTGAACTTTCAACTTCTTGAAAAAAATTGAAACTCAGGGAATTTGTTGTTCTATCAAGTAGAAATGTGCCCTAAAAAATATTTTTGATTTGTTCGAAAATTTGGTGGGGGTAGAGGGGGGTCATTTTGACAATTTTGCTAACACCGGCTACTTTGTGAATTTTTTCTGAACCTACTTGTAATGGGGAAAATTTTTTAGAATATATTTCTGAAAGGTTTTTTCGTCCTTTTTCTAATGGTGTATTTTGTTTTTTAATATTTTAAAAATTTACCCTAATTTTTGATAATTAATATTTAATTTTCAATTTCCCAAAAATCGGTCCATTTTTTAAAAAATAAATTATTGTAAACGGAAGCTGAGGTTTTTTCCTATCGGCATGTAAATTTTCAGAATGCCCTTTTTTGTTTTTGAGTTATTAAATTTCAAAGAATAAATTGCGTCCCGGGCGCCTCGTCTCACGCCGATTGCTACGCGGCTCAGTGCAACCAGGACGCAGCGCGCCGCAATTTATTCTTTGAAATTTAATAACTCAAAAACAAAAAAAAGGGCATTCTGAAAATTTACATGCCGATAGGAAAAAACCTCAGCTTTCGTTTACAATAAATTATTTTCAAAAAAAAAAACGGACCGATTTTTGAAAAATTAAATATTAATTATCAAAAATTAGGAAAAATTTTTAAAATATTAAGAAATAAAATACACCATTAGAAAGAGGACGAAAAAACCTTTCAGAAACATATTCAAAAAAAATTTTACCATTACAAGTATGTTCAGAAAAAATTCACAAAGTAGCCGGTGTTAGCAAAATTGGTCAAATTGACCCCTCTCTACCCCTTCCAAATTTTCGAAAAAATCAAAAATATTTTTTGGGGCACATTTCTACTTGATAGAACAACAAATTCCCTAAGTTTCAATTTTTTTCAAGAAGTTGAAATTTCAACTTAGGACCTTTCACGTAAAATGCCTCATATATATATTTATATATTAGCCCTGTATTAGACCCTACCACAGTGGGCCAGGATCGGAAAAAAGTGGCCAAAAGTCAATTTTTCTGTAGGGCTCCAAAAACTTTTTTTCACTTGTGATACCTTAAAGCATCTATATACGAAATGCCAAGAGTTAAGGACTCATATTATAAAAATTACTAACACCGAAACTTGAAAATTTGAAAAAGTTTCTGCATAATCATAAATGCACAAAAGTGAATGCTTTATATGTTAATTCTTAAAAACTGACTATAATGTTCTTTATTTATGCTAAGTACATGTTAATAAATTGGAAAAAAATTAAAAACAGGAATTTTAGTCCTGTATAAGTTTTATTTTAATACATTTAAATTCGAAAATATTGTATTTTTCAGTAATGTACTAGATTGCGTTCAATGTATTCCCGTGTATCCTCGCGATAAAAGAATATCGAACATACCGTTTGTTAACTTAAGATGCCTACTTTCATAAAATCCCGCGCACTTTTGCGCATATTTATATTTCAGTGTTAAAAAAAACAATATGTCAGCTTAGTGCACAACAGCATGTTATACAGCAACTCACTTCTGTGGCACTTTAGAAAGAGAATACATCGAATACATCGAATTTACGAGAACAGCGCGTGCGCAATTAAGCATTCAAACCACTTGGTTCGGAGAACCAATAACACAGGCACACAAAAAAATAAAAAAGTCAAAACCCAGAGGTCACACCCCCCTATCCCCATGTTTTTGGGGTCGCTGAAACCGAATATGACCATGACAAATTTTTTTCATCGGCCATTTTCCCGCTACCACCCCCTTACACCTGCTCCCGGGGGTTGAAATTTCAGTTTAAAGAAAAGTGGAGTAGGGTGTCTATTCCTATGTTTTTTGGGTCGCTAAAACCAAAAAGGACTACCAAAAACAAATTCTTCCCTCCCTTAACCCCCTACAACCCCCTTAACATCCGAAAGGTGGGGGGTCGAAATTCGAATTTTCACGAAAAGTCGATTACGGTGTCTAAACCTACGTTTTTTGGGTCGCTAAAACCAAAAAAGACTACCAAAATCAAATCCTTTCCTCCCCCGACCCCCTACAACCCCCTGCAATAATTTTTTTCAAATAAAACGAACCGATTTTTGGGAAATTGAAAATTAAATATTAATTATCAAAAATTATTGCAGGGGGTTGTAGGGGGTCAAGGGTGGAAAGGACTTGATTTTGGTAGTCTTTTTTGGTTTCAGCGACCCAAAAAACGTAGGTTTAGACACCGTAATCGACTTTTCATGAAAATTCTAATTTCGACCCCCCACCTTTCGGATGTTAAGGGGGTTCTAGGGGGTTAAGGGAGGGAAGAATTTGTTTTTGGTAGTCTTTTTTGGTTTTAGCGACCCAAAAAACATAGGAATAGACACCCTACTCCACTTTTTTTTAAACTGAAATTTCAACCCCCAGGAGCAGGTGTAAGGGGGTGGTAGCGGGAAAATGGCCGATGAAAAAAATTTGTCATTGTCATATTCGGTTTCAGCGACCCCAAAAACATGGGGATAGGGGGGTGTGACCTCTGGGTTTTGACTTTTATATTTTTTTGTGTGCCTGTGTTATAATTATTCGTTTAACAAAAGCAAAAACTTTAAGGAAATATTTTTCAAAAGCCAACTAAATTTCTCGATTGATTCTTTTTTGGTGTGTCAAATAAATTTGGTAATTTCAGATAAATGTGATCAAGCAAAATATTTTGTCATTCAATTATTGCTTTTCTGAAAAACAGGCTTCAGAGATGGTTTTAATCTCAAGGAAAGAAATTTTAGAAAATATTTCAACCGATAATGGTATTGAAACGGGTGTACAGTATGTATTGAGAAAAATGAATATTGATTCAAACATTGTAAAATGTTCTAGCTTACGTAATCTGAGACAAAGCGTTTCTTCTGTCATATCAAAACGAAAAGCTAAATTTGAGAAAGCTTCTAGAAAGAAAGCAATATTTGAAAGCGAAAATGAAAAGTGGTTGAATGGACCTTTGTATATTCCAAATCTTGAAATAGATGAGCCTTCAGGAACTTTCTCTAGCTTCCAAATTAAGCCTGGTCGTCCGAAACTTTATTTCTCGGAAATGTCAGATCGATCTAAAAGACGAGATGCTATGCAGGTAAGTGAACTTTGTAAGAATGATCCTTTAAGAATACTAAAGGCTGCAGAGGCAGGTGCGAAAAAATCTAAGATGAGTGAATTATCTGCGATTATAAAGAAAATTTTAAAGTCTTCTGAATACATAGAAATTGAACGCCAGTTAACCTCAGTATCCTCAGTAGTGCCGAAGTCTGCTGAAGAAGCATTGACCTTTATACTAGACAATAATTTATCAAAAGCCGTTTATACAAATATGCGTTTAGCGTCAATTTCAAGTGGAGCAGATATTTGGCCAGCTTATAATAAAATAAAGGATGTTAAAGCTCAATGCAGGCCCCCTAAAGAAGAAATTGTAATTAATGAAAAAGAAGCTAAAGTCAGCCTTCAATTTATTTTGAGGCATACAGCAGAAAGAGTTGTTCAACTTCAAAATGAAGTTATAATTGAAGCTCCAATAAAATCGAATTCAAAAATGCTTGAATCAGTATTCATTTTTTCTTGAGGATTTGATGGAAGTACCGGTCATTCGCCATATCAGCAACCTTTTTTATCTCAAGAACTAGACGCAGACTCTAGTACTAAAGCAATTGATGGAAGCTTGTTTGTTACCACTTGTAATCCATTAAGATTAACAAGCTCAACAGGTATTATTCTTTGGAAAAACATAGCTTTTCAATCTGAAAGAATGTGTCGACCAATATCAATTAAGTGTGCTAAAGAAACTTCTCAGCTTATTTTAGAACAAAAACGGTTAATAGAAGATGAAATTGAAAAATTAGAATATATTGACATTGAAATTGGAGACGTTTGCTTACGAATACATTTTACATTATGTTTAACTTTAATAGATGGTAAAGTTCTAGCAACAATTACAAACACGAAGTCAATGCAAACATGCCCTGTCTGTCATGCTACACCAAAGCAATTCAATGATATTAGGAATAGAAACAATGGCACATTTTCAGCAAATGAAGAGAGTCTTCAATTTGGAATTAGTCCACTTCATGCCTGAATTAGATTTCTTGAATGTTGCTTGCACATATCCTACAAAATTAATATAAAGAAATGGCAGGTAAGATCACCGGCAGAAAAAGCTGAATACGAACTTCAAAAAGCTAAGATTCAGAAAATCTTAGAAGAGAAAATTGGAATAAAAGTAGATTTACCAAAACCAGGTGGTAGTGGTACTACCAACGACGGCAACACTGCACGTCGAGCATTTGAAGATCCAGATCTTTTTGCTGAGTGTCTGGGACTTGACAAACAATTAATTCGTAATTTTAAAACCATTTTAATTGCTTTGTCCATGCATTTACCAATTGATCCATTACGTTTTGATGATCTATGTTCTTCAACCATTGATATTTATTTAAAGTATTACAGTTGGTATTACATGCCATCTACTTTGCACAAAATTTTATTTCATGGATCTGAAATTATTAGTTTTAGTATTTTGCCTGTCGGAATGTTAGGCAAAGAAGCTTCTGAAGCACGCAATAAGAAGTATAAACATTTCAGACAATTTCATTGCAGAATAATTTCTAGAGAAGCTACATTAGAAGATCTTTTTTATAGATCTATGGATACTACTGACCCAGTTGTATCAACTGTTGGACTTACTTCTCGTTTGAACAAAAGAAAAAAATTACCTTTTCCTCGTGAGGTTATTGATTTACTCGCAATTCCCGAAAATGAAAACGTTTTGAGTACTAATATGCGCGAACAAAGTGGTGTTGATGGTGATGATAACAATGATGAAACTGGAGTTTTAAGAACATTTGAATTGCTAGATGGTGTGATACTCGAAAACGAAAAGATTAATTAAATTTTAGGGCAATGATGTGATTAATAAAAAAAATGTCTGACAAATAAAAAAAATAATAAAAAAAATAAAAAAAGAATACAAAAAATTTAAAAAAAAGAATAAAAATTTAAAAAAGCAAAAAAAAAAAATTAAAAAAGAATACAAAAAGCAATAAAAAAAGAATAAAAATTTAAAAAAGCAAAAAAAAAAAAATAATAAAAAAATATGGGATCCTTAAGTACCTACAACCTCCTCGCGGTGGATCCTGGAAACTACATTTTTAAAGAATATGTGTAGGCTAATAATAGGTAAATTAAATTAATCTTAACAAAACCTGATAGAAAATTAGTAATCAGCGACCCCAAAAACCCCCGAGTAACAAATTTCCAGTGTTTTAATTGTTTTTTTAAAAGAAACCCGCCATATTAGATCCGCCATTTCGAATTTTGAAAAAATGTCATCGGATTCGTAATCAGCGACCCCAAAAACCCCCGAGTAACAAATTTCCAGTGTTTTAATTGTTTTTTTAAAAGACACCCGCCATATTAGATCCGCCATTTCGAATTTTGAAACAATGTCATCGGATTCGTAATCAGCGACCCCAAAAACCCCCGAGTAACATGTTTCGTGCGTTTTAATTGATTTTTTTTAAAAGTCACCCGCCATATTGGATCCGCCATTTTGAATTTTGAAAAAATGTCATCGGATTAGTAATCAGCGACCCCAAAAACCCCCAAGTAACATGTTTCGTGCGTTTTAATTGATTTTTTTAAAAAGTCACCCGCCATATTGGATCCGCCATTTTGAATTTTGAAGAAATGTCATCGGATTCGTAATCAGCGACCCCAAAAACCCCCGAGTAACATGTTTCGTGCGTTTTAATTGATTTTTTTAAAAAGTCACCCGCTATATTGGATCCGCCATTTTGAATTTTGAAAAAATGTCATCGGATTCGTAATCAGCGACCCCAAAAACCCCCGAGTAACATGTTTCGTGCGTTTTAATTGATTTTTTTAAAAAGTCACCCGCCATACTGGATCCGCCATTTTGAATTTTGAAAAAATGTCATCGGATTCGTACGGCTGCACGCGCAGGGCCCAAAAACATACCAATCTTCAAATCACGATTTCTTTGTAAATAAAAATGTCAGAAAATTAACAAATATACCATTCGAAAGATTATTAAATTCTACGATTAATGATATGTAACTGAAAAATTTAATAATTTATACAAAGCTTGCAGCAATCTACAAATTTGACAAAAAAATTTTTAAAATAAAATTTTTTTGGAAATTATTTCAACCCCTGCACATTTTTTAAAAATTGTAGGAAAAATTTGAAACTTATATAAGTGTAATCATTGAAATCTGATCTTTAATTTAAAACCAAAAGAGTTAAAAAATCTTAATCGGTTCGAGAGATATCATTATAAACGGCCGAGAATTTTCAGCGAAAACACGTTCAAAATCGATTAATTCAATGCAATTGTCAAAAAACATGCTCGAACTTATATAACGATATCTCACGAACCGAATAAGATTTTTAAACTCTTTTGGTCTTAAATTAAAGATAAGACTTGAATGATTACACCTATATAAGTTTCAAAATTTTCCTACAATTTTTAAAAAATGTGCAGGGGTTGAAATAATTTCTAAAAAAATTTTATTTTAAAATTGTTTTGGTCAAATTTATAGATTGCTGCAAGCTTTGTATAAATTATTAAAATTTTCAGTTGCATATCATTAATCGTAGAATTTAATAATCTTTCTATTTTGTATCGAAAAAAACAGACACGTATATTTTTTTTTTTGGAAGCCAAATTTTTGAGTTATGAATTTTAAAAATTTTCGTTTCTTAAATGTAGATATATTTTCAATGTCAGATAACTAAAAAAATATTGCTTTTTTTTATTTTTTGCCAAGAAAAAAAAAGTTTAGTTTTTCTCTCTACTTTAGAATAATAATAACAAAAAATTTATTTTTTTATTTTTTATTAAAAAAATAAAAAGTTTTTATAAACAAATTAAAAATTTTTAACTTTAGGTATGATAAATTTTTTTATTTTTTTTTAAAAACATGCCTGAAAACGTTAAGAAAGTTTTGCAAAAAAATTCAGAGTTGGCCTGATAAGTTTAATGGGTTTAAATAAATAATTAAGCTCCTAATACATGTCGTTCGCACACGGTACTATACACGGAGAAAAAAAATAATCAAATTTACTATGCAGAGTGTCAAACTTGAAAAAGTTAACACTCTTTTGTTTAAAACTTAACCTAAGGAGTCTCAAATTTACATTTGTCAAAATCGCTGCACTTGTATCGCAGAGCGAAAATCGATTTTTAATTCTTGTTTAAAGTTTTTTACATGAAGAAAGTGTTTATTCGTGATTTTGATTAAAATGTCGAGTAAATTTAAAAATGTGTGTTGTAATCCTTTTTCCGAAAAAAATCATATCAAGAGACAAAGTTTGCGTCGCGTATCACAGCCACTTTTAGAAAAATTCAATTTTTTAGAATCAAGTGATGTTGTATGTTCTTCTTGCAGAAAAAGAATGAAGACTACAGATTATTGTAAGTATAAATTTTAATTTTGAAAATTTTTATCTAAACTTTTAGCAACATTCAATAGGTAATGATGATGACAACAATGACACCATTTTATCAGATTCAGAATCCGATTTAGATACAGATAGTGATGATGTGATTCGCGTCATTTGTGATTTTTATTTAGCTGTTGAAAAATGTACAAGTGTTTTTATTGTGCGTACAAGTATTTTTTCTCTTATAATAAAAATAATAAAAATTACAATTTTTAATTAATAATTGTACCATGTGTATATGTGTGTTTGTGATTAAAATAAAGTGACATTTATATATTTGTTTGTTATGCATGCATAATAAATGCATTTATTATAAGAATAAATCGTATTTCAATACTTACCCTAAATAATATTTATTTTAGTTGCAATATTATATTTAATATATTAAATTAATAATAATTAATGATGTTTCATTATATTATATATACCCCCACAGCACCGAAACTTTCCTAAAAATTTATTAAATATTTACTTGCAATGTTCGGAATATGTAATTGCAATGTTTATTGAAAGTTGTGTAAAGAACAATTTTCACTAAACATTTCAGTTAAATATGCCGAATATTACAAGTAAATATTCAATAAATTTTTAGGAAAGTTTCGGTGCTGTAGGGGTATATATATATATTTTTTTTTCTTTAAAATGGTATTCATATATGACCGTAAATACGGGCATAAATACGGCTGTATTTGCTGTTTCAATTACACTACCCTTCTAAGGCCCGTATTTAGGGTCGTATTCACAGTCATATTTACGCTCGTATTTACAGTCTTTTTTTTTTAGTAGGGTTTCCACGGTTGATCGACGCTCAAAACATGGTCGAGCAATATTATGTCCAAGTTATTGCCAAGGTTGACCCACGCTATGCCCACGGTATTTTATTTTTTTTCAAATTTCGCGATTTTTTAGGCTAGGAGAAATTATTTTTTGTGGAACAGTGGAAAAAAGTATTGAATTTTCTATACCAAGTATTTTAACTTGAGAATATTCTGCAAATAAATTTTTTTTCAACTTTCGCGTAAGTCTCACAGGCCAACTTACAAAAATCCTTAAGTTACTTGAATTCAACGATTTTTCAGGTTAGGATAAAGTAATTTTTGT